TKYWSCARWKTWSAAKSTACTTGATTTGCCATTCAGAAGATAATATATTACGTAAAACAGATTTGAGAGCTGCAGTGTAATTACTTTTTTGAAAAATATATTAGAATACTTAAAAAAAATTATGAATACTTTGTGGTGTAAGAGAGATAAAAGCTGTCTGGGTATGCAAGAATCATACTATTATAATAGTGGTTATAATAAAAATAACAATCTGTATCACATAAGTGGTTTTCATAGAATTCCTAAAAGTTTCTACCAGCATCTTAGTTTATTAGTACATATGTGCACCTCTACATAAAGACATCTGGCAGAAACTACATTAAACTTGTGTTCATGAGTGCCAAGGAATTAAAAAGTTCTTGTGTCATTTCAATTGCCATAAGGAAAAAAATATATATTAAAGAGAAGGGCACAAAATTATTTCTAAATGTCAAACAGAAAACGTTTTGTGCCTTTCTCTTAAATTTAAGCACTCTTTGACCATTGCAACTTTCTGTTCAACAATATGTATGTTAGATCCAGCTGGAAAACCTCATAGGGTACTATGGGAAGATGAAAATACACCATTCAATGGTATCCCTTTTATAAGGCTGGGGAGTCGAGTCCTTGAATGTCAGCATGGCACTGATAGAAACAAAGCTGCCAAGAGAAAATATAAAGAAAACAGAAAGGTATCAATAAAACTACAGAATCAATAAAATAATAATAAAATAATCAATAATCAATCAATAATAATATATAATGAAAAGTAACTAGTAATAAATAGAAAGGGGATGACAAACATAATACAGAGGAATTATATAGAAAAGAAAACTACAAGTAACTCAAGCTGAATGGCTGTGTTTCAATATATTTCACTTGTTATGCCGAAGTCTGACTAACTTAAAGTTATTTTTCTCTAACAACGCATTTGTAATTAGATAAACATTTACCTATTTAATTTTATATTTTTAATAAGGATGGTGAGCATAGTTACCATGTAAAAAAGAGGCGCCTTATTCAAGATACAAAAAAAATGGATTGCCCAGCAAAGATATACATGAAAGAAGTAATGTATTTTCCAGAGTACAAGGTACCTACTTTACATGTAAAAGATAATYAAATTGATGCATGCGATTATATTTAATTGATTTTATAATGTAACTGATATASAAATACATAAAAAAATCAAAACAATTAATTGTTCTATTTGCTATAAATCAAAAAGAAGAGACATGATTGCTACTATTCAYACAGATAGCTGCAAATACCGAAAAAAGAAGAAAAACAATGTCAAAAAAGCYCAGGGAAGAATTAGCAAAAGAAAAAATAGAAGGCAAGAAACGAGAAATATTGATAACACTTYCTAGTGATGATGCCCACAAGAATCACGTACATGGGAAGGTAAATAGAATCATTTATTATAAAAATACTTAAACAATATATAAATGCAGTTAGCTAAGAACTGAGGCAATATATTCAAAAAKTATTTACAGGCAAGTGGTATTCAACAGCAAGTTGACCCTACAGTAATAAAAAAAATTCATGAGCTTGTTGGTAAAGGTGYTACCAATGTCAATGAAATGCGAAGACATCTWMGTGAATATGTACAGAAGGAAATGTTCACAGGGCAGGAAAGCCCAAGCTTACTGAATAGGAGGTTCTTTCCGTGGAAAAGTGATGTACGAAACCACATGTACWAGGCCACCATCAAACAGAGGTTTGACAAATGTGATCAAACCAATGTTGCAAGGAAAGTCGAAGAATGGAAAAAAACGTACCCTAATGACGACTTTTTTTTTCGTTGTTATGCTGACGTAATTGATCCACCTTCCAACCTGACAAGTAGTGAAAATGACCTAAATGAAGATGAAATCAAGGTTGTTTCACACATGTCAAAACAGAAAWTGATGTTCATTCATCAGACATCCTGGCAAAAGGYATTGCTAAAGAAGTATGGCAATGAAATATGCCTCCTGGATGCCACATATAAAACAACAAGATATGCTCTTCCTTTGTTTTTCCTGGCTGTGAAATCAAATGTTGACTATCAGATAGTTGCTTCCTTTGTTATCCAAGATGAAACAACGGATTCAATCAAGGAGCCAATAGAAAAAATAAAAGAATGGAATCCAGGGTGGAAACCGAAGTACTTTATGACTGACTTCTGTCAGGAAGAGATTACAGCAATTGAAGAAATATTTGATGGCAAGTAGAGTTGTTATTCTTAAAAAATTATAAAGAATATATTTATCAGGATTTTCAGCAGTATACATCAACATTATACATAAAAGTAAGATGCTGCGATCAAAAAAAGAATGACCTAAATTGTTATAATGTTCCCAGCAACTAATTTAGCACTCTAAGCAGTCCTGTGTCATCTATAGGATGCATAGTCTACCTGTGTGACTTTCACCKGGAACAAGCCTGGGAAAGATGGTTAGCAAGAAGGACAATGGGCTAAGTACCAATAAGGATGAAGGACTTAGCTTATTGAGGAAAATTGCCCATTCTTCAACAACAGCCCAGTAMACAACATCAGTTGAAAATCTGAAGAAATGCAGCATTTGGAAAGACAGCAACAAATTGCAAATCTGGATGTAAGGAACATGGCTACCTGCACATACGGTAATAAGAAATTATTGGAATCAAGTTTTACAAATCCAAGTGAACCCTGGCTACCAAGAAATTATATATAATTTATAATGTATTTGTTTGTAAAATCAAATGCTATACACTCTCTCCTTTCAGAGATGGGTATGGGCCTTTCGTACTTCTGGATTCAACATGAGAATCAATACCAACAATGGTTTGGAGAGACAAAACCAGGTTTTTAAGTATACATACTTGAAAAATTATAAAARCAACAGCCTTTCTGGAATGCTTTCTGTTTTAATTGAAGAATTTCTACCTGATAATCACAACAGGTAATTAACAAATAAATATTAATGCATGATACACCTACTTGCAGAAACGTTGTCATAGAAAATAGGACATTTGTATTTTAGTAAAAAGGAATAAATTAAAAAGACAAACAAAGATCACTGAGGCTGAACGCTTTCTTTTGTCTTGTTTTAATTTATTCCTCTTTACTAAATYCAAATGTTYTATTTTCTATGACAAAGYTTCAGCAAGTAGGTGTATATTAATAAGAAATAATATCAGCAACTAAGTATTAGAGAAACACTTCTTTTAGTACAAATGCTAATGCAAGCAACACTTTGCACTATTTACTTCTTAATAATGCAGRTAATCGATAAAAGGAAAAACAGTAGAATTAGCAAAATTTMATCGARCACTTTTCTTGTTTGCACTCGGACTATAGTTTTTGCAGTATATATTTATGTTAAATATATAYAAAATAAAATTGTACAAGTTTAAAGAATATAGTATAACAGTAATCAGATTGCAATGATTGATATTACAGTTAACCTTGATCGCGGTCAGACAATCAGAGTTGCAAACAAAAAAGTAATAATTCACTTAATTAATATAAAGTATGTGTAACATTATAATACTAATAATCAAATTCATTTATTCTTATGTAACAGGTATATGCAGTTGAACATACGCTGCTCTAATTCCTACAGAAAGTATAACTCAAGCATCCCTGAATTCCTTTATGACAAACCTCGATTCTTAGTCAGCCACTGCCTTGATAGGATGGGAAGTGCAGCTGAAATAACTGCAAATTCTATCAAACAACTGAATGGCAATGGAAACTTCAGGGTCAAGAGCCAAAGTAATGAAAATGTCAACTACCTTGTGTCCTTTGGTAATGACATGACGRTGCCCTCTTGTGAATGCCAAGATTGGAAACGATCTTCCCTTCCCTGCAAGCACTTTCTGTCTATCTTCCTTAACTTTCCTCAGTGGCAGTGGGACAGTTTCCCAAATTGCTACAAAGAATCCCCTTTCATTACACTGGACAAGTCAGCATTGGCAATGAATGTAGATGACATTGCTGATGATACTGACTTGGATATCACACCATCAGATCCATCACTAAAGAATAATGTAACTGCAAAATGTAAAATCAAAAGTYTTCCCCCAAAACGAACATTCAAAAGAACACAAGCGTCAAAGTGTCGCGAGCTATTGGATAAAATCCGCTCACTGACATTTTTAGTTAGAGACCAAGAAGCTTTGGAGGCATTGGCATTTCAACTTAAAGAAGCTAATGAAACACTAGAAAGGTCAATTGAACATGAAGATGGGTGTCTACTGGAACAAAAAAATAAAAAAATGCAG